CTGTGAAAAGAAGAGGTTCAGTTTTTTGTTGGAATAATCATGGAATAAATTATATAATTAACACTGTAGTATAAAGAATGATATGAATATATATATGATATGAATTATATTCAATTGAGTACCTATTCAGAGTAACCCTCAGCGATGAGATTGAACACTTTGATGATTTAGTGATATTGTCTGCATACCAGCATTGCTGGGGAAACTGCAAGGAACTCAATTTAAATGGGAGAATATCTGCTAATTGGCAAGTCAAAAACTCAACCCCTGCTTAACTGCATGGCTGTTCAAAAAGCAGGCAGTGATGAATCAGTTCACTGAATGTCTTTCAAATTCCTGTTCAGTCTCCAAAGGTTTATTTAAGTCTTTAACAATACAAACATAAACAATCAGGAAAAACCACAGGTGTTAATATCCATGACTGTTAGGTAATACCTCTGCCTTTTTGCTCTCTTTGTCCTGTCTCTGTTCTCTTGTCTTGTCCTACATAATGTTTTTTATTTTAGTAAGACAGTAATAATCAGAGGCTAATTGAATCAGAAGAGTTAACATAAACAAGGAAACACTGGATGCCAACTGCAGGTGTGAATGAGGTGTGCAGGTATTCACATGCCTGCAAGAAGGCTGTGCAGTGGAAATCCATTTTCTTTATTTCTTTTCAGTCTGGAATGAATTCACTTGCTCCTCTGAAACATGCATGCTAAAGCAGCTCCGCTCATTAAGCACTTATAATTGCTCAGGATAGCTTTTTGCCAGCTGTTTATTTAGTACAAGATGTAACAAAGAAAGGTGACAACAAGAGGAGGCCTTTCAGCCCGTCTATCCTGTTAGGGTTAGTAGTCTCGCATCAGGCTGCTTCCTGAAAGAAGCCAGGACATCGGCCTCAACAGCAAGTGTGTGAAGACTTCTTAGTAAATGTACAATTGAGAGACATTTTGAAATTTGTGCTGGTATGCTGTTTTTCTTGGTGTCTGTTTGTTTTCTTCAGTATTAATCATTCTCCATTGTCTCTATGACCTTTCATTGAGTGGAAATAATTCTCACTTTAGGAGCTACTGTACCAAGAGTTCAGCTGTGGGTTTCGTGTTCGTGATGTTGTCCAGCACTGCAGAATGAGCACGGACTGACTGTCCACTGGGTTTAGTCATA